CCTGTAAACTTTTCCCTTCACCTTAGCTGACACTCTTCTGTCACAGATCACTCCTGACACTTTTCTCCTGCTGTTCCATCCTGCCTGTACTCTATTTTTATAGAGGGAAACATAATGTCTTTAATATTGTACCAGGTGTGACGGTGATGAGTACTAGTAGTACTGGTATTTAACACTGTTAATGATCTTAGCATGTTAATGATGTTAGCATGCTATTGATGCTAACATCAGACTCCGCACTTCATCATGTGACCTTCATCTGTTACCATTCAGGTGCCTGATGCCATCCAGAAGTGCCAGCGTGCGGGCATCACGGTCCGCATGGTGACAGGGGACAACATCAACACAGCCCGGGCCATCGCCATCAAGTGTGGCATCATCCACCCCGGAGAGGACTTCCTGTGCATCGATGGGAAAGAATTCAACAGACGGATCCGCAACGAGAAAGGAGAAGTAGTCACTGTCAATTTGTTTAAGTTTGTCCTGATGGAAAAAAAAAACAAAAAACTAAACTTCATCATTTGTGTTGTGTGTGGCGCCTCAGGTGGAGCAGGAGCGAATTGACAAAGTTTGGCCAAAACTCCGAGTTCTGGCCAGATCTTCTCCAACAGACAAACACACGCTCGTCAAAGGTGAAATATTATTTTGACTTTTTACTGATTGTGACCGAGTTTAGACTGAAGTGAAAATGATTAAACGTCCAACGCGTCTTCTCGCAGGAATCATTGACAGCACCATGGTGGACCAGAGACAGGTGGTGGCAGTGACGGGTGATGGAACCAACGACGGCCCGGCCCTGAAGAAGGCCGATGTCGGCTTTGCTATGGTAAGAAAAAGACTCATGTGTCCCTCACCTCTGCTGCATGTTGAGGAAACAGTAAGTCTGCTGAGCTAGATTATTAGCTCCCCCTGGTGGAATCTTTGTCTACTACAGAAAATAAGATATTTTTTTCTGTTTTTATTGGTGATTTTTATTAGCCAAAGGTTAAGTTAAAAATAACGTCAATAGATTTTTTACTCGTGCTGCTATTAATATTATTAATTATAAATGTCTTTATACTTTCCACTGTGCGATTTAAATCAAATAATTATATTGGAGTTAATGAAGAAAAGTAAGTAAGATATAGTAAAGCATTTTCCTGTGTGGCTTCTAAAGTACAGCACCAGAAAGACAGTGTAAAACAGTGGTTCCCAAGTAATGGTGCGGACCCCCTGGTTGGGTGCACTGAGGTGCCGACAGGGGTGGGGGGGGGTCAGGGGAGGGGTTAGACATGAAAGGCTTCCAATGGAATATGGCACACTGGGCAGAAGTGTGTTGTTGCTGTAATGCTTGAACGATAAACAAGTCAGCCACTAGGTGGCAGTAACTCATACAGGTGTTTGTACAGATCAGAATCAAAATACACATTATCAGGTTCTCCATAATGTTTTAATTCAGGGAGGGGATTGAAAAAAATTCCGTCCCCTCGGGTGGGGCCGTGACGGAAAGTAATTGAAAACCACTGATGTGAAGGATTAGAGGTTTCATGGTCCCGTGCGTTCTTGACGCTATCGTGTCCCTCACAGGGTATCGCTGGTACTGATGTGGCGAAGGAGGCGTCGGACATTATTCTGACGGACGACAACTTCAGCAGCATCGTCAAGGCGGTCATGTGGGGCCGCAACGTCTACGACAGCATCTCCAAGTTCCTTCAGTTCCAACTCACGGTCAACGTTGTGGCTGTTATCGTTGCGTTCACCGGAGCCGCCGTCACGCAGGTGAGACAGCGAGAGTGAGAATGTGCGCGTCATGTGATCGCCTCGGAGTTCCTGCTCTGCGTCTCACCGTTTTGTTTCTTTTGCAGGACTCTCCCCTGAAGGCCGTGCAGATGTTGTGGGTCAACCTGATCATGGACACCTTCGCCTCCCTGGCTCTGGCCACAGAGCCCCCTACTGAGAGCCTGCTGACGAGGAAGCCATACGGACGCAACAAGCCGCTCATCTCCAGCACCATGACGAAGAACATCTGTGGACATGTCATCTACCAGCTGATCATCATCTTTACTTTACTTTTTGTTGGTATGGACAAAAAAAAAAACAACTACATTTTCATTTCTGACTGTGGTGCAGGCGACCTGGGTTCGAATTCCGGGCCTTCAAATTAACCATGAGGAATGAACTACTTGGAACTTTTGTGGTTCCATAGTGTAGCAGTTAGCATTTCACACCTAGAGCAAAGAGTCCTGGGTTTTATTCCCTGAGGAACTACATTTTGGCGCCTCCAAGCGGCCGCCTGTTGCAGTACATCTGCTGTTAACGCAGATCCAGATTCAGATCCAGATTCCTTCCATCTGAAACTCAGTCGAACGACTTAATATTCCACAGACGTTCTCCGGACGTTTTACACCGGAGGCTGAACGTGTTGTTGTGTGCATTTTCTTTCTTTTGCAGGTGAAAAGATATTTGACATTGACAGTGGCCGCAACGCCCCTCTCCACGCTCCTCCATCTGAGCACTACACCATCATCTTCAACAGCTTCGTCATGATGCAGCTCTTCAATGAGATCAATGCTCGGAAAATCCACGGGGAAAGAAACGTGTTCAACGGGATCCAAAACAACCCGATCTTCTGCAGTATCGTCCTCGGCACCTTCGCAGTGCAGGTAAACAGACGGTGCACTTGAGTTGATTTGACATTTATTCTTCCTGTTACGGTGTTTTTTTGAGTCCCACTTGTGGTTTGTTTTGTGCAGATTATAATTGTGCAGTTTGGGGGGAGACCATTTAGTTCTACACCTCTGGACCTGGAGAAGTGGATGTGGTGTGTTTTCCTAGGGTTGGGTGAACTTATCTGGGGACAGGTAACATATCACATATTCCATCAATTTTAATCTTCATCCTACCTGCTGTAAGCCTAAAAGAGTCTGCTCTGACCTCTGGGTTAGGTCATAGCCACCATTCCCAATAACAAGTTACGCTTCCTGCGGAGGGCCGGACAGTTGACTAAGAAAGACGACATGCCAGAGGAGGACGTCAATGAAGATAATGAGGAAATAGACCACGCGGAGAGGGAGCTGAGGAGAGGACAGATTCTCTGGTTCAGAGGACTCAACCGCATCCAGACTCAGGTGGGAACACAGAAGGAACACTCTGTCTCGCACATTTCTTTTTTTTTTTTTTTCTTACACAAATAACTGTTTTATTTTTGCCTTATCTTTGACACATTTGAAGAAATTCGAAGCCGCCTTATTAAGTCTTTCCCTGTTGGTACCATCTGTTAATTTTGATTTCAAGATGACTTATTCAGGTGCATGACGCCGTGGTTTTCTGTCACTGGACCTGAAGTGAAAGCCTGTGTGGACCTGGAGAAGAGAGACGGTCCAATTGGCCACCTTGGGTCACAGCCAATGAAACATTGTAATTGTTGTATGAAGTTCGTCGACCACCGTCACTGTGACACGCGCAGACTGTACGTCCGATCTTAATGTTTGATGATATCGTCTCATCATCAGCGCAGGGTGAGGTTAAAGCGACAGGAGGTCTGGATGAAAAAGACCAAAATATGAGTAGAATTCCTGGGGTTGTCTTTGGGGACTGAATCAAATTCCCTTCAATTCCTCTTTACGTTTTGGGAAAAGAAATAATACATTTTATGGAGCTACATCAGGGCAACATGTTTCCATTCAAGTCTAGTTTCAAAAGTACATGTGGGGTCTGCTCTTTGACACGATCAGAGCTGTCGGAGACACCGGGGAGACGTGTCCTCGTGTGTCTCAGTAACCAAAACCCACGTTTGAAATGTCCCGTCCTAGAACTTTTTGACGCACCCCTGTGTGTATGCAATGGACAAAAACATGTTCTAAAAAAGTTGGCGCACTTTCTAAAAAGACAAGGTAAGGTCAAAGGTCAGTCAGAAGAAACAGAATTCACAGAGTATTACTGGTGACGTTGACGGTTTGTCTTTGCCTTTGGGGGCGGCGGGGGTTCGAGTCTGACCCCTCGTAGTCCAAAGAATATTCCAGAGTTGGTTAAAGGTTGACTCTCTATTACATATAGGTGCGCATGTTAATGGTTCATCTCTATATGATGGACTACGACCAGGGTGTACCGCCCTCTACTGTTGACAGATGGGATTGTCTCTAGGGTCCTACTCTGAGCCCAGGGTCTGCTGTGATGGGCGTCAGGATTAGAGGATATAGGATTAAGTTTGTCAGTGAAAGAAAAAACAACTGTTTATTAAATATTAATGCAAATTACCAATCTACAGATTTTTAACTTTTGGGAAGTGCACCAACTTCAGACAAGTTTGGGGTTCTACTTCAGATATAAATGACAGAAAAACACTTTTCCTATGTGTTCAAACGTCCAAACGTACCCTGTCAGTCTGCCTGTGTTGTCATATAGTGTGTGTGTGTGTGTGTGTGTGTGTGTCACTCTGAGCAGCCATTTGTCCTCTCCTGTCCCCGGTCTCCTGCAGATTGACGTAGTCAACACCTTCAAGAGCGGCACCTCCTTTCAGGGGGCGGGAGCTCTGAGGCGCCAATCATCCACCACCAGCCAGAACCAGGATGTAACCAATGTTTCTAGTCCTAGTCACGTGTCCTTGTCCAATGCCCTTTCCTCTCCTACAAGCACTACTGCTGCTACCGCTCCTCCCACTACTGGTCGTGAGTCACTACTCTGTCTGTCTGCTTCTCTGCTCTCTCTGCTCCGGGGGTGACAACGTGCCACCTGACACCAAATTCACATCCGTACGAATTTCTATTCACTCTGACCAAGTGGATGCTGTCACCTCTGAAGATGTGCATTTCTTTTTTGTGTTTTTTTTTTTTCCCTCTCTCTTGCCGTCAGCTGTGTCTTTATTTGGTCTCTTTCTTCTCTGGTTTTGCTCTTCATACTGTACTTCAAATTCATCTTGATATCTCCTGCCATGCTTGGGCTCTACTGTCCTCTCATTGGTCGATGTGTGTTTGTTTCCCCAGAGTGCTAGGAGCTCAGGACTAAGGGTGATACCCACGGCGTGACATTTCAGGTTGTGAGTTTGTCTCCCTCTGCTCACTCCCACCCTCCACCCCTCCACCCCTCCATCATCTTACCACCTCTGCTACAAAAATTAACCTCCCACTAATTACAGTAAACCGGAAGAGAACGTGGGTAAACGTTCAAGTATAGGTTCTACTTCTACATTCTGTTTTAGTTTTAGTTCTCTGCAAAGTTTACTGATTCAATTTAGGCTACGCAGTAAAAGTAACTAACACCGTCCTTCACACTCGTGTTGCCGTAGTTACTGAACAGAACCTCTTTAACTCCCGCCGGCCCCTTCCTGACACCCCGTCAGTGTCAAGCTTCCTGTCACATGACCTCATCCAGACTAACTCCCATTTCTCTTAATAATCCCAGCTACTGTAACTGGACAATGTATTCACACCGTATTCACAATTGACATTGTTACTATTAATTATAGCCATCCGAAGAAAATAGTTACAAATCTATAGAACTAATCTGCTGAAACGCAGTTTAACTTCAGAAAATTAAAAAAAAATAATATTGTATATAAAGATGTTGATATAATTCGACAACAGTAGTTAACGTCAGAAAATAAAACATTTTCAAAAATGTAAATAAAAAAATCCTTGATATAATTTGGTAATTATGTGCAGTGCAGTCAGTTCCACATAAAAATTTCAATAATATTATTAATAATATTGTAATATTTTGTGCAGGTTTTTTTTGTTTGAGCAGTGAAAACGTGACGATATACAATTCTATGGACAAATATCAACAATACTTATAACAAAAAATATGATTTTTTTTACTTGGTAAAAATCACAAAACAATAATATGAGTTATTTTTTACTTGGTAAAAATCACAAAACATAATATGAGTTATTTATTATTATTTATTATGAATTATTTTATTTTATTTTTTTAAATTTTTACAAACACTCCCTTAGGAAGTAGATAACAAAAACAATGACATCATTGTTCTGGGGCCTATACTTGAGTGTTTACCTAAATGTGCATGAAGTTATTCAAAAGACACTGAAACTGAAACAGTTCTTTCCACCATACACTGTTGTGTGTGTGTGTGTGTGTTTGTCGTGCGTGTCGTGTGTCTGGGGTCAACTCCCTGACCCCTCTGTCGTCTCGTTGCATGTTGTTTGCGCAACCTGTTTCATTTGTTTAGTGTTTCATCGCCATCGTTTTGAATGTGTTTTATGATTCTTTTTTTTTTATGTTTGTTTTTTTTTATTTATTGAACCTCAAAGCGACTCGCTTCAGACCATGCTTTCCCCACCGTGTGCCGCAGCCCCCCCGTGTGTGTTTTTGTGTGTGTGTGTGTGACACTCAAGAGTCTGTGTGGATACAGTTCCAGACCGAGCTCTGGAAGGTTGTTGAAGTTTTCTAAAGCCTCAGATTGGATCGCACAGATCTAACCCTCCTTCCTTCTTACTGACCTTGTCCACCAGATCGCTTCAAACCTGCATGTGATAATCTCCTTCCATTTTTGTTTCTGTGAGCATTCCATTTATTAACGTGGCTTGTTTCTAGGTATACAGCGCATTGGACTAAAAGCGTATACTTACAACGAGCGTTTGTGTTGGAAATGTATGATTTGGTTGGATTTATTTATGGTTTTCTTTTCTTTTTTTTTGCACGCTAAAGCTAAGTGACTTGTGAACTGTAGTTTTCTGGTGAAAGCAGAACACAGACTACAGTTGGCTTCTCTCTCCCCCACCCTTTGTTCACCTTCTCCCCCTTTTTTCCTCTAACACCTCACCCTCTAATGAGAGACTCCTTTTCTTTTTTTTTTCTTCTTCTTTTGTTCCCCTCCCTCATGCCGAGGCTCCCACCAACGTCGTCTTCAACCGCGGCTGCGTCTCTGACGTCTCCCTCTTCCCTTTCCCCCTCTTTCTCCCCGCGACAGATCCGTGTTGTGAACGCATTCCGCAGCTCCCTCTACGAAGGCCTGGAGAAACCAGATTCCAGAACATCCATCCACAACTTCATGACGCAACCCGAATTTAGGATAGAAGACTCCACCCCCAGCCTGCCCCTCATCGACGACATGGACGATGACTCTGCCCGGAGGAGGAAGAAGCACTCCAGCCAGCCCACGTCCCCCAACAAGAACAACAATGCCATCGACAGTGGCATCAATCTCACCATTGACACCAGTAAATCCACCGCTTCCTCCAGCCCCGCCAGCCCCCTACACAGCTTGGAGACCAGCCTCTAACCTCCAGTCTAACCTTAGCGTCTACATCTGACCTCCTCTCCTGCTCCTGCAGTCTGGGTGAATTCTTCTGCTCCAGACCCAGTGCTACCACTAAGGCAGGAAAACCTCCTGTGGCGACATGTCCATGTCCATGTCCATGTCCATTTTTTTTTTTTTTTTTTTAAACTCAAGCTCTTACAGCTCTCTGATTTAGTTTTTGTCTTTTCTTTTTTTTTTTCCTCAAAACTGAGAATATTTACAGTTCTACTGCAAGGTTAATAAAAACCATACAATCAAAAAAGCCACAAATCCTACACAGCCATCCTGCTTTTATGGTTGTATGTGTACACCGGCAGCAGTACTGGTACCTATGACTACGTGTATATTAGCATGTACTGTATAAGTGTGCTGCTGACTGCACATACTGTATAATAAACTGTGTCGTGGGTGGCACTGAAAGGAGGATGAAAAGGGAGTCGAGTAAAAAAAAAAAAAAAAACCAACCACCCGGACTCAGAGGACTGTCCTTGTCGCTCCCTTTTACTCCACAATAACAACATTGTCAAATACTGATAATAGTTTAAATTCAATTGAAAATGCATTGTTGAGATTTTAATTATTACTGTTACCACTATCGTTGCTCCTGCATGAATGTACATTTCCGGAGTCTTATTTAAAAAGAGTTGTATTTTTCTGGGAGGCTCATTGGTTCTGGACGAACTCGGCCTCGTGACCACAAACTATTTTAAAGACAGCGTTTCTGAGTCACTCGCCCATAAAGTCCCGTCATCTGTGTGGCATGAACATGTTACAAACCTGTTAAAAAAAAAAAGAAAAAAAAAAACAAAAGAAAAAAAATGTATTTCATTCATACAACAACGACGTGTGGCAAGGCGGTCGGGCCTCGCATTGCACAGTAGTTTTGCACCTGTCGGAAACGGAGGAACACGAACAAGCATTTACGGGGATTTATTCTATATATATATAAATATATATATATATATATATACATATATTTAGAGAGAGTTTATCTTTGTTTGTCAGCATGTTGCCTTGTTCCCGCTTCAACGGCTCGAGATACTTTTAAATTATTTATGTCTTAAAGAGAATGTAATTTGTTTACAACCTCGTAGAGATAACAATTTCTGGTTTCTAGACGGAGGGAGGTGAAGCTTTAGCTCGGATAACTAGAGCTGTGTTGGTGTGTTATTACAGAAAGAAAAAAAAAACGTGCTGGAGTTTGCCTGCTATCTTGTCAAAAAATGTAGATATTCTTAGAGGATTAACAACCAAAAAGAAACCAAACTTTAACGGGAAACATAATAAATGTGGAATCTTAGTATTACTCTATATGATTGTCGGGATGGAGTTGGGGCGACTTGCCTTTGGGATTTTTTTTTTTTGTTCTTGTTTTTGTTTTCCTAATCAGAGGTGTCCTTTTGTGACGGAAGGGTAATATTTAATTCTTTATTTAACGACAACTTCTTGCTCTGTTCCAGTTGTGTTTATTCCTTCCTCTGTGTTCAGCGTTGACCTGGCTCAGGGCTCAATAAAGGCTGATTTCAGGACACTGTCAAGTGAAGAATCTTTTGAGATAAAAAAAACAGAACAAAAACACCTGTGTATGTGTAAGGGAGGTGTGACCACCAGAGGGCTCCAAATGAGTCGTTTTAGAGATTTATGGCTTGTAAATCTAAATCTTTCTTTTTGATAAAACCTCATGCTTTTGCTCTTGGATTCGGGTTTTATTTATTTCAGGTATATTTTTTTGGGAGGATTTTGTTTTGTTTTCATGTCCTCAAACAGCAGGACTCCCGCCGCCACACAGAGACCTTGAAAGAGGAAAAAAACAAACAAACCACAAAACAAACATCACGGAGTCAAACGGAATGTCGCTTTCCTTCTTTTTCTATATATCAGAACGTTCATTTTCTGCACTATCTGGTTATGAATGAAAAACTTCTGTGGTGTAACTCTCGATGTGCTTTTGTGTGTTTTAAATCGAGCTTGTCTTCCTGCCGTCACGGAATATACCGCGCTCTCGCAGCTCAGCCGTGCTCACGTAGTCGTGAACTATTTATTGTGCTTTGACCAAACAGACATCACCAGAGAGAGGTTTAACAAACAGCAATCACACGCAGCCAACCCCAGTTCAGTCCTATTGCACTCCAGAAAGGCCTGTACTCCTTCTTCTTACTCTAATACTAACTATCTCAAGTTGTTGACAAGCATGACCTGGTAGGCTCATTATGCAACTTGGAAAACTTTTTTTTCCCCTATATAATACCACTCTGTGTACAATCAATAATAAGAACGGTCCCACTTTTTATAACCTTCCGTCTCCATCCTTGTCCCATATGATCAGTTCATCTGCAGAGGCCTCACCAGCTCAGACACATGGAGAATAAATAATAAAAAAAAAATCTCATTTATGTTAAAAAAACAAACACAACCATCTGGAGTTTGTTTCACTGTTTTGGAGCCAATTTTTTTAAAATTTTTTTTTTTTTTTATAAAACCTGTCCATTTATTCTGTTAAGGTGCAACCTAGGAGAACATGAAGCTGCGTGAGGAAAAAATGTCCCACTTTTTCAATAGACATTTTGCATTCAGCTTTAAATTGGTGCAAAGATGAGGAGTTTGATAATTAAAAAAAAAAAAACAACAACTTTGTAAATACAGTATTCAGACCTCGAGCCCTGTTGCAGACGCAGCAGCTGTTTGGCTGCATGTTCTCGGTCGACGCTCCTGTCACACACACACCCATACACACACACACACAGTTCTCATCCAAATAACACCATGAACTGAACCAAGTGATAATTAAGTCTGACGACGACACAGACGATGACGCCGATAATATCGATGATACTTTTTTTTTTTTTTTTTGCAATATACTCTCACCTGTCTCGATGTACTGTATTTAGCCGCATGCCGTTTGTGGAACAAAGAAAAGAGAAATGTCATCAGATTACATTTTGGCATTACCATTTATGGGTAAGTGATTTAAGTGTTGATCTTGTTTTTATGATTTTTTTTTCTTTTTTTAAAAAAACCTATACAATAATTGTAAATAAAGAACTCAATGTCTTTGTTCATTTACTACTATGCAAAAGTGGAGCTTCTCTGATTGTTACCCAACTTTAATCCCGAGTTTGTTGCTGGAATGTTTATGGTTTCAACAGTCGGTGAAGTGCAATGTCATGTCAATGATTTTCTAGCCACAGACGAGAGTTAAATGATGTTGACAATTGATATGTGACAACGGTGATAATAATGATGTCCATGATGATGATGATGATGATGATGATGATGAGAACTATGCTGCTGATGATGATAATGAACTGTGACTCTTGCTGCTTGGCTGTCCCATTTACCCCACTCCTGACAGGAGCGCAAGTGACAAACATAATAATAATAACAACAACAATAATAATAATAATAGTAATAATAATAATTTTTAAAAAATCACTAAATAAATCTCCCAGAGCAGCATGACCCAATATGGTGTGTCCTGGACCAGTGTGACATGTTCTGTTCTTATTTATTGTCCTACACCAGACACTTTGACTTTCTCTGATTATTTTTGTTTGACTTGTAAATACACTTATTTAATTCAAAAGATTCCTAATTCCTATAATCATTATCTATTCTAAAACTAGGTTTAATTCTTCATTATCATGGGGAGGCCAACATCTTAAGGCACCAGAACTCCAGGGGTTTTCAAAAATAAACATTTGGATCACAGAAGAATAACTCAGTCGTTCATAATAATGACTTTGTTTTTTTCCTGTGAAGACACTGCTCTCTGTTTCTTTTTTTACTTGTTCTACAGACAGTTACATGACTATATATATATGCCAGTAGGTGGCAGCAGTGCAAAAACTGAAGAAAAGACTGGGAAGTGATGCGTTGTGTTTTATTTGAAGCAGGAAAACCATCAAAGTACAGTCGGGATTTCCAAACATAATCTGCTTATAAGCAGCACCACACAATTAATGAATAAATCAGTGAATTAATACATTTAATTTGGTTGGTTACGCCTACATTATTACCTCGTTTGTTTTTAAGTGACAATTTACAGGTTTTTTTCGAATTTTCACGTCAATTCGGGACAAAGTGTTTTTAAACACAGGAGATTACATTTTTCGAGGGACAGTTGGAATTTAAACTACTTGTGGTGAGATTCTTTCGCCGTCTTTGCCACGATTACGTGAATGGAAAACAACCCAATGCCGCGTTAGCAAAGGGATGTTGCTACCATATATGGTCAATTGGAGGCGTTTCTATTCAGAAATGGAACGACCCAAACAATGGACGAGCATGCTACTCACAACCAGGTGGGCATTAGCACCACTCGATACTGACTCGTGGGTCCGCACGTTTGATAAATACGGATTTTATTTGTTTTGTTTTTAAGTACATTCTTAATTTTATGCAGATGACAGAATTTAGAACCTTTTTGAACTCTTTTACCCTTTTAAGCTCGACCGCGTGCTTCTGAAAAGATGTATGGAATGTGGAAAATCGCCAAGGAGAATGTGCATGTAGCTGTGAGGGACAATGCACGCAACGTGGCTAAAGCTATTCGTGCAATTATATGACGTGCATACTGCATAAATAAATGATGAAAAACAATGTAGAATACATTCTACAATTATAAATGAAAATGCAATGTTCATGCACAAAAGTAAACGTAATTTTAAATTATGAGAAAAAAGATACGACGCCGAGAGCTGATATTCAAGGATGAAGATGATGGTTTTGCTGTGCGGTAATGCACGATGATCGATGATCGTCAACAACATCGTGATGACATATCTTCGGGGAGTTGATCTCGCTCGAGAACAACATGGACGCCTCGGGCCTGGCTATGTTCCTCGTGCAGCGGCTTCCGTGGAACGCAGACGTCGCTTCCTGTACAAAGAAGGTGACTACCCCCTGCTTGTGGATTTTGGATTGCTGTTTGAATGCTGAAAAGAAAGAAAATGTATTTTTTTCACGAAAATAATGTAAATATTGGTAATTTAAAACTTTTATTTATACCGCGATATAGGGAAAATGTCACAAGATCAGATTAAAAACAAAACGATAGGGAGAACCGCGATATAGAGAGGGGACACTGGATGTTTTTGGTGATATTTTATCATGTTCAGTTATAACAGTTTTTGGAGTTTTTAGCACAAATGATTCCCTTGGCAGCATGTTTTGGGGCATATACTCCCATTTAAGGCCATTTCTGGATCTTTTAGTAAGGCTATAGTAAGGCATGTTTT